TCATTTTCTTTGTTTTCAAAAAAAAAAAAAAACACGTCTGGTTCAGCTATAGACTTAGTGGTAGGAGACGATGCCGTTTTCCTTCCCTTATGAGAGCCAACATGTGTTCAAACTTCATTCCTTCTGCTTGAAAATACCTCTATATAGGGGTTGCCAGTTTCCTCCCTGTGTTTCAACAGTGCTTGGTTGCTCATTTCTGGCTCTTCAAACTGCACATAGGCTTCCCCTGTTTTTCTTCCCCCTCTGTAGTCCATCACAAAAGTGATGTCTACTATATTCAGTCTTACAAAAAAAGTCTACAATGTCTTTCTCATTGCAGCTATAAGGAAGTCCTCCCAAACGCACCATGTCATCGTTTGCCACAGGTGAAGATTTGACCTGTAGGCTCTTCATTAAGACATCCACATCTTCATTGTTTGTCTTATAGACTTCCACATACCGCTGACCCATGTACATCCGGTGTTTCTCTAAGGCTTTATTCGCATCCTGCTCTGACTCCATTTCAGTTAAGGCATCACCCCCTTTGTTTCCCATCTCTTTTTAAGAGGAAGTGTATTCCATCCTTGAAGTGGATTCTGCAGTCTGATAAAAAGTTAAGCCCCAACCAGGGGATGATTTCTCACTTTCTGTCTCTCTGTCTCTCCAGTAAGTGTGTACACCTTATAGCAAAAATCTCTCTCTTAAAAAACAAAAAAAAAAGAAAGAGTGCTCTAGAAGGTTAGGAAACTTGAAGAACATTTTCTCCACTTGTATCATTCTTGGGAATAGATACTCAGTGATAACTGGTGAACAGAAAACAAGCTTTTTCATACCGTAAATAAATGCTATTTTATTGCTACAGAAGAGCAGTAGCTGCGAAACACAGTGATTCATTGTCCTTCATTTAATTTTCTAACTTCAATATCAATATTTTGATAGAGTATCTAGTCTTACTTGGGGGGGCCAGATGGACAACACAATCATCTTCCACATAGATAGCCCAGTGCTCATAACCAATACGAAAAATCTCAATCAGGTCTCCAGGTCTGGGTCTTGGTTTGCCCTATGATGGGAAACAAACAAAAAATTAACTATGCATGTCCAAGGAACTCCAGAGACCCTGTCTGGGAATCAGCTACAACTCAGCCTAAAGATTCCTTCAATGCAGTTTATCACTTATAGAAATCCAAGCTAGAGAACGTTCTCTTCATGCAGAGGACCAAAGTACTCTCCCTCTCCTTTTGCCATACCTACTATTAAAGCTATCAAGCTGTGTGTGCCAGGTATCAATGCATCACCTCTCAGCGCCAAAGCATCCTCCAATATATACCTTGTGATAAGTGACTGAACTCCTTTAAACATTTCTCCTTTAAAGTGGGCATGATGTTTAGCTTTTTCAGTAGAGGGCAAGAGAGGGGTATTGCATGGACAAATTAATGGCCAGTAGTGTGGGTATGAGTAGAGCTCTGCCTCCATCCAGACTCCTTGGCCCCTTTAACCTTACAGCCTTGGCCTGGTGATAATCACTCTGAGACCCGTGTGACAGGGAAACCAGAACCCGGAAGTCTCCTGCCCTTACTGGACCCTGATTTCCTTTGCAATTCTTCTGCAGGGCCCACCTGTGTTTCAGACAGTTCCCCAACCCACCCCTCACCCCATTCTCTGCATGCAACACCACAATTGCTAATAGCCATTCCAGTCCTGTTTGCCCAGTGACTGTAAACCATCTCCAGCCTAGCCAAACCGGAGACTTTCTCTGCTCTACAATGGATTAAACCAAATCTCTTCAGTCAGGTCTGAATGCCTCCCCAGTTTGCCCTTCCTGAGTACTCCCCCTCATCCCTGGAAGACCTCACAGGGTTCCCTTATTTTTACACCTACTACCATCATAGTTGAATAATCTAATCATTCTTTATACTTATCCTATATAACCTACTGGTTTCTGTCTCCTGACTGGACCCAGACTGCTGGGGCAGGAGAGGGGAGACATGTATGAGTCAGGTAGGGAGAGAATGAGAATACACATGCAGAGGGATAGGTATGGAATTGTGAATATATGAGCATGATTTAAGAAAATACTTATTAAGCACTTAATCTGTGACAGATACTGCTATCCTGGGCATTAGGAATACAGCAGTGAAGACAATGACAGAGTCTTTGATGTTGTAGAGCCTTCATTCTTATGGGAGTAGAGTAATATTAGGATAATTCAAATGAATATATGGGAATGTCCATGTGAAGATATGTATGCAGTTGGGTGAGTATGTTGGCAAATGAGAATGTGTGTGTGTGTGTGTGTGTGTGTGTGTGTGTGTGTGTGTGTAGCATAAATGTACTTGCACATAAGTTGATGGGCCTATAGGTAAACTTACCTGAATATCTGTGAGTCTATAATTATAAGAGTAGTTGAACAGGCTCATACTGTACATACATGTAACAAAGCTCTTGGGCCCCTGACAATTTACTTCTTACAAGAATCAGAACCCATTTATACTTCTTATTCCAGTACACTGCTCAATAACAAAGTTTCAACCTACATTGTACTTCCCAGACACCTCATCATTACCAAACTATCCTTGAAGTTTGTCCAGGAAGTTTGTCTAGGAAGAGGCTCTGCTCACTGGTGTCTTCCTGAAAGGGCAAGCTAGAAGTCACAGCCAGGCAGAGATAGAAACCACCCCACCTGCCCATCAGTTTTCCATCAGTGTTGTTTCTCACCCCATGTTTGCAATGATTTTCCCACGTAGTCTAATTTCCTCCTGTATTTCACCTCCCAGACTCCAGCTCTATTTCCCCAGCTGAGGAGAGCTGTACATCCCATAAAATTCACGCATTTTAAGTATAGCTCAATGACAGTAAGTAAATGTAGAGTTTGTGCAATTATCACTACAATCCAATTTTAGAACATGTCCATTATCCCAAAAAGATTCCTCATGCCCATTTGCAGTCATGCCTGTTTACTTCCTTCAATCCTAGGCAGCCTCTTGCTCCTAATGAGTTGCCCCCACTTTTTCCCCCATCCCAGGAAACCAGTAACTATTCTTTGTCTCTATAGATTTGCCTTTTCTAAACATTTTGTGTAAGTGAGATTATACAATATGTGGCCTTTTGTGTCTGCCTTCTTTCCGTTAGCTTGCTTTGAGAGTCATTCATGTTGTAGCATGTATCAGCTCCCCATTGCATAGATGCACCACATTTCACTATTCCAATATTATTTTGGCTATTCTGGATTCTTTGCCTTTCCATATAAATTTAAAGATCACCTCTTCAGTTTACACACACACACACACACATACATAAAAGCCTACTTTCTAAAAAAAAATTTTTTGTTGTTGAGGAGGCAACAATCAGGCCAGTTCTGGAACCATGTTTCAAAACCAGTATGACAATGATGTCACTATTTGAGCCCTCAGGGCAGGATTCATCAAATTGAATATGCTATGGAAGCTTAAACAAGGTTCAGACACAGTTGATCTAAAATCAAAGACCCATGCAGTATTGGCTGCATTGAAGAGGGCACAGTTAGAGCTTGCAGCTCACCAGAAAAAAATTCTCCATGTTGACAATCATAAGGTATCTCAATTGCAGGGCTTACTGCAGATGGTAGACTATTATGTAATTTTATATGCAAAGAGTGTTTTGATTTCAGATTTGTATTTAATAGACCACTTCCTGTATCTCGGTTTGTATCTGTAATTGGAAGCAAAACCCAGATAGTACTACATGGCACCATGTGCCATGATCTGCATGGCTAAACAAATGCATGCCTGAGTGGGGATGCTGTGGATTAGAGAATAAACATAAAAATAAACATACAAATACATACAAGTTTAAAAAAAGCTGGGATCGGGTGGTCTCAACTTCTCTGATAGAGACAGCCACAGCCCTGAATCATACCCAGGTTTTTTCCTTTTTTTTTTTTTTTTTTTTTTTGAGCAGTGTTTGCTATAGGGCACATGCGCTCACCAAACAGAGAGAGACAGAGACAAAAAGTGAGACACCGCAATCCCTTCTCCTCCATTCTCCTCTTGGGATCTTGGGCACACACACACATGTGCCCAGCATGAGTTTAAGCCACCAGGTCTGGGACACAAACCGCTGTCGATTACATGGGAGTCCAGCGACATAGCCATTCCGCTAACTGCTGGTCCCCCAGGTTTACTCTTTTAAAGGGAAGAAAATAGAGGAAGGGAAAGTGGAATGCAAAGCTAATTGTTTTCTTATGTTAACCAGCTGAAGAGGTAAAGATACCTGGTACCATGTAGTCCTATGTAAGTTTTCTCTACTTTTCTTGGGCAAATTCTGATTAACACATGTGACTTCCTTTAAACCAATACTGCTCTGCAGTTCCAGGAACACAGGTAGCTAGTATATTCACATGTTAATGGCATTCATTGCCCTACAAATGATGGCCCAATAGACCACGTTTCTGCATGCTCTAAAGGTTTCCATGTTTGCTCAGATTGGCTTCTCTCTACAGTGGCATAACCATATCTTACTGGGGAATGCTTCCCCCACATCCTCTGTCTCTCTAGTGAGCACATGCATCCTTTAGCAATTTAAATAAACATTTAAATAAATAAATAGCTAAGAAAGAAAAAATACATTTATAAGATCTTATATATTGACTACAAATTTACATTTCTGGTACTTTCCATTTCTTTCTACTGAATTAAGGTACTGTCTGGTGTCATATCCTTAATCCAATAAAGCTTCATTTCAGCCCCCCCTTCCTTTGTACTATTATTATCATATTTAAATTTTAAAACATGAACCTTTGGAAGACAAACCATTATTAGAAAATTTAACAGGAAGGATTGGCAAATTAGTAGAATTTTCTTTGTAATTTAAATATTACTAAATATTAGCATGACCTATGTAATTACCTTTACAGGTGTGTTTTGTATTTCTTCATGTGGATTAGAATTAATGTCTTGTGGGAATTCAGCCTAAAGAACTTTCCTCACTATTTCTTTTAAGGGAAGTCTCCTAGCAGCAAGTCCTATCAGTCTTCATTTATCTTGGATTATTTTTCCACTTCCATTTTTTAAAGATATTATACTATATGTAGGATTTTTTTGTTGACAGTGTTGTTTCTTTTGGTACCTATGCTATCCCACAGCCTCTGGCTTCTATTGTTTCTAATGAGAAGTCAGCTTATTACACCTTATACATGATGTGTCCTTTTGTGTGTGTCTCTCTCTCTCCCTCTCTCTCTCTCTCATTCTGCCTTTCAGATTTTCTCTTTGTGTTTAAGGAAAGGATTTGCTGAGGTACTTAGCCATTCCAGAAGTCCTGTCCACTTGCAGGAATGAGTTGTTATGGGCACAAAGCAGGCAATCTACACTACAACACTTCATGGAAGGAATTGAGGACAAGAGAGACAAAGTGCTTTGTTCAAGGTCCCACAACAAGTTCACGATAGAGCTACGATCAGAACCAGCACCTGATTCCCAACCCCCAAAACAAACCAACTTATTTCTTCTGCCTTAAATGGAAAATGCAATGGCAGTTGAGCATCCACTAGAGGGTCTCCCAAACCAGGCTTCTCATTCAGAAAGCAGAATTACATTGTAAGAAACTTAAAACTAGATTTCATTTTCTTTTATTGTAAGCCCAGAAAAAGAGATATAGATACCCCCCATCCCTAAAACCTGGAAGATGAGAATACAGTGAAGAGGGTGAAGAGGGTGAGAGCTAAGGGTTGGGAAGACAACTCATAATGATGGCACAGATCAGAAGTGATGTGATAACGATAGATGGAGATGGAGAACCAAAAGAAGGGTCAGGGAGAAGCAAAAAGAGGGCCAGAGCAGGAAGATCTTTCTCATCCTTTGAAGAAAATTTAACAGGAAGGATTGGCAAATTAAGAGGATTGTAATGTAAATATTTTAAAAAGTATATCTCATTTTAAGAAAATGTCTTTCAATAAATACCAAGGGATCAGTCAGCAATGCTTTACAATGTTCATAAAGAAGGCTTAATTTCAAACATTTGAAACTCTTTTTAAAAAAGAGTTCAACATTTGCATATCTGATGCAGAAAAACAGTTAAGTTACCTTTAACTTACAACTTAGGTACCTACAGATTCATAGATCCTAATTCTTTTTCCCTTCCAGGCATAGGTAAATGAGAAAGGAAGAGAACTCTAAAGTCTAATATCTTCAAGTGAACCTATGAACTAGGTTGTGGCCATTTCTACTGCTATCTACACATGACACAGGAAAGCCTTCAGGCCCATCCACGTTGACACAGTAGCCTAAGAGCCATCTGTCTAAGTGCCAACACTAGAGGGGAGGAGGGGAAAGCTGTGCACAAAGGATGAACAATATGCGTAAATGCAGTTACAAACCCTCAAGTGAATCAAACTCAGCTGTTTCTGACACTGATCAGAGTGGGTTGGGTGGTAGTGGTAATGTTATATGGCAAGTTTCACTGAGCCAGTCCAAAGGGACTCCAGACAAGATGTTATGTTACCCATTAACTCAAGCCCTGATGCCATCTTGCTCTACCTGAGCACAAACCTTATTACCTAAGAGCCCTGACCAATGAAATTTACTTTCTATCTAGAGTATCTAGAGCTCTTAAAGTCTGCCAAGCAGCTGAACAGTCACACCCATCCTTCCCAGGAAATACAGACAACTATAGACCCACCTCTGCACCAACCAACCAGTCAATCACTTCCCGCTCAACCTGGTCATTCCCATTGACAATTCAACAACAACAACAACAATCAATCAATCCCTTTGCTATTATTTCCTGATACAACTGCTGGGAGAGGGATGGCACAATTTATTGTGCTGCTAGTCTAAGCCTGAAAAAATTAATAAAATCTGAGTTCTGGCCATTAGGATGTTGAACAAGCTTTGTGGTACAGAAAACAGAGAGCTCAGGAATGGGAAAAGGGAAAAGGATAAAATAAGGAATTAGAATGGCTAAACTCCCACATGGCCAACCGCAGTTTGAGTCCCAGACCTGTTGACTTGAAAATTCACACTGGTTGTTTGTGCAGTGTGTGCAAGATCCCAGGAGGAAAATGGAGAAGGGATTGTGGCATGGCCATCCCTCATGGGTGATTTCTCACTTTCCCTCTTACTGTCTTTCTCTACCCCCCACCACGCCATAAGTGCATATGCCCTAAGGCGAAAAACAAACAAACAAAAAAGAAAAGAAAAGAAAAGAAAAAAAACCCTCTTTTAAAAAAAGTGAAAGTAAAAATATATAACCATAAAACATCTAGAAGAAAATAGGAAAAAAATCTTTTCTTAATATATTTATTTGTTTGTTTGATGTATTTACTTGTGTATTTATTTTTGCTATGGAGTGCATGTATTCTCCAGAGAGAGACAGAGACAGGGAGAGAATGTGAGAAAGTACCAGGTCCAAACACATAGTTGACCGTGTGAGATCCAACTGCTTTAACCACCATGTCACCTAGCTGGCTCCAGGAAAAAAATCTTAGTGGTCTTGGATTAGGCACAATTCATAAAAGCTAGTAAGTTGGATTTCATCAGAAGTTTAAAACCTGTTCTGAAAAGACATGCCACAGACCAGAAGAAAAGCATAAATTCTGATGAAGCAAAGATGTGCAGATTTTTTTTTTGAAAAACCCTCAAAAGAAACAAGCCAATAGAAAAATTGGGCATAAAATTTGAACACTTCAACTAAGAAGGTATATATGTATGCCAAATAAATGCATGAAATGATGTTCACATCATAAGTCATTAGAGAAATGCAAATTAAAACTGTAATGATATACTGACATCTTACTGGAATAACTAAAATTTAAAATATTTGCCATACCACATGCTTGTGAGGATGTAGAAGAACAACTTGTGGGGATTTAAAATTATATAACCACTTTGGGGACCAGCAGTTAGCGTAATGGCTATGTCTCTGGACTCCCACATAGTCGACCACGGTTCGAGTCCCGGACCCGGTGGCTTAAACTCACGCCGGGCGCGTGTGCATACGTGCCCAAGATCCCGAGAGGAGAATGGAGGAGAAGGGATTATGGTGTGCCCATCCCCCCAGGGGGTAATTTCTTGCTTTCTGTCTCTCTGTCTCTCTCTATCTATCTGGCGAGCGCACGCGCCCTATAGCAAAAACCTCTCAAAAACAAAAACAAAAACAAAATCATATAACCACTTTGGAAAACATTCCTAAGTATTGACCCAAGAGAAAAGAAAACACATGTCTAAACAAAGACTTTATTTTCATTGCAGCTTTATTTACAATAACCAAAACCTAGAAACAACCCAAATGCCTATCAACAGAACAGGAAAACAAATAATGGCATATCCATACAACAGAATACAGTTTAGTTACAAAATGTGACAAACTATAAATAACAAGCAACAACAAAGTGTAACTCAAAATCTTTTTTTTTAGAGAAGTTTTTCCTATAGGGCGCGTGCACTTGCCAGAAAGACAGAGAGAGACAGAGAGACAGAAAGCAAGAGGTCACCACCTGGTTGGATGGCCACACCGCAATCCCTTCTCCTTCATTCTCCTCTCAGGATCTTGGGCATGCACGCACACGCGCCCAGCGTGAATTTTAAGTCACTGGGTTCGGGATGCGAACCGTGGTCGACTACATGGGAATCCAGTGACATAGTCCCATAACTCAAAATGAGTATGTAAAGTTGTCAGAGGAGAAAGAAAAAACACCACATATAATTTTATTTTTATAAATCTCTACAAAATGAACATTAATCTATAGTGACAGAAAGATCAGCTGTTGCTTGGGGATGGGGCAAGGGAGGAAGACTGAGAGTTAAAAAGAAGCACAAAAAACTATGAGTCACCATGCACATGTTAATTATTTTGATTGTGGCAATGGTTTCATGGGTGTGTACATATGTCAGATTGTATCAAAGTGTATATTTAAATACTTGGAATTTACTGTAGGTCAGTTATACCTCAATAAAGCTGTTTTTTTGTTTATTTGTTTTTGAGGGTTTCTTTTCTTTTCTTTCTTTCTTTTTTTTTTTTTTTTTCCATTTTCTTTTTTCAATTTGCCAGAGGGCTTGTGGGCTTGCCAGAGAGCGAACTGGCAAATTTTTCTGGGCCTGGATTCTAATCATAGTAAGCTATATGGGATACAGCTCCCAATGCTGAGTGTTTTTTAACCACTGCCCTACCAGGCCTGTTCAAGCTATAAGTATAATGGCACAGTGGTTGGGGCACTGGATTCCCACACAGCCAATCGTGGTTCAAGTCCCAGACCCAGTGGCTGGGGGCTCATGTCAGACATATGTGTGTGTGTGTGTGTGTGTGTGTGTGTGTGTGTGTGTGTGTGCGTGTGTGCTCAGAATCCTAAGGGGAGAGTGGAAAGGAGACTGCAACAATGCCATCCTCCCTTGGGGGAAGGTTTCTCACCTTCTGCCTCTCTGTCTCTCATAGGTACACAGCCTATGGCAAAAATCTATCCAAAAAAAAAAAAAAATCATTACCAACATCCCAAATCAGAGTGGATGTTTATTAGTCTAAATAAAGTAAAATGCAATATGTACAGAAGTAGCCAGAGATTAAAGATACTCACTCTCTGAATTTTTTGTTATACCCACCTCAGGTGCTTTCTTTATTAACTTGCTTTCACTCTCAGGCTGGGGTGTTGAATTCAGCTCTGATCCTTTCTGGCTGGGTGTGGTCTCTAAATTAACTACAGGCTTCTCCCTAAATGATTTTGCAATCATACAGTTAATAAATAACACTATTTCACAATTATGAAAAAAATCTGTATTACAGATCACTTCAGATTTGTGATTTTAAGAACTCTTTTAGTTTTGAGATTATAGGAAACATTTTTCCCAAGCTAGTTTTCCATGCAGTCCTTAGCTTTCTTACAAAATAACTATTATTACCTGGTTTTCTGATGATTGTTTAAGATGCCATTAATAGTAACATAGCTTTTAAGGGTTTTCTTTTTTAAAATGTTTTAAATCTTTTATAAATGTTTATCATCAATTTAGAAAGAAAAAGAAAGAAGGAAAGAGAGAAAGAAAGAAAGGGAGAGAAGAAGAAGGGGAAAAAAGGAGGAAGGAAAGGAGAGAAGAAAGGAAAATAATTTATAATGAAATGCAGGGGGCCTCTGGCTGTGCCCATTCTCTTCCCTCTAACCCTTGGTCCTACTGCTCAGAGGCAAATACCTTGAAATTTTATTGGAGATTTTCTTCCAATAATTAGCTCTGTATTTCCAAGAAATTTTGTTAAACCACAATACCATAATTATAAGTAATGTGAAATATATCAGTATATGTTGTCCCTTGAAACAAAATGTTTTAGGAGAGGACTGAAATGAAAGGCAAGAATATTCTTTTGACGTGATTTTGAGTCATTTGTTTTGGATCCAAAAAGATGTGGGCTCGAATTCTGGTTGGGACACTTGCTATTCAACTTTGAGCTAGTAAATTAATCGGTCTGACTCTCAGTTCAATTATCTATAAAACAGGCGTGTGTCTCATAGAGTTGTCAACAGAGTTAATATTCTCACCTGCACTGAGATGTATATCATGCTGGGTAAAGTCTTTTTACAATCTAAACTATGTATAGTGATTGAATGTTTAAATAATAATAATCAATTCATTTTTAAAAGAGAGTTAGGGGGACCAGCAGTTAGTGTAATGGCTATGTCGCTGAACTCCCATGTAGCCGACCACGGTTCGAGTCCTGGACCCGGTGGCTTAAACTCACGCCCAGCACCTGTGCATGCATGCCCAAGATTCCTAGAGGAAAATGGAGGAGAAGGGATTGCGGCGTGGCCATCCTCCCTGGGGGGTGATTTCTCGCTTTCTATCTCTTTGTGTCTCTCTGTCTTTCTGGCGAGGGCATGCACCCTATAGCAAAAAAACTCTCAAAAAAAAAAAAAAAGAAAGAAAGAGAGAGAGAGAGTAAAGTATATGCAGACATCTGGTACACCATCAATTCAAATTTTTTTCTTTACCTTTCCCCAAGCTTAACTTTTCTCTAAAAGTATAGTTTATGGGAGGAGAATGAAAACCTATCATTTTTACCTTTTTTAGGCTTTTTGTTTGTTTTGGATTTTGTTTCTTTGTTTTTGTTTTTGCTCTAAGCCATGCACACTCTCCGGAGAGAGACGGAGAGAGGTAGAGGGAGGGAAAGGAACGTGAGAAATCACTCCCCAGGTGATTGACCACTGTCATAATCCCTTCTTTTCCAGTCTCCTCTTGGGATTTTGGGCAAGCTGCTGGGTCCGGGGCTCGAATCCCAGGTGGCCACATGAAAGTCCGTGCCTTAACCACCACACCACCTGCTGGTCCCATGTTTTTTGTTTTGTTTTTAATTGCCAGAAACCACACCCCTCACCAGAGAAAGCACCCCCTAATGAGGCTTGGTTCATGCCACTATACTCTTTCCTTTATTTCTGCATCCCATCAGGACGTGGGGCACACACACACACAAGCACCTAATGTGTTTTTGAAGCTGCAGGACTGAGATCTCCAACCATAGTTGGTCATGTGGGACTCGACCCAATATGCACAGGGCTTCACCACTGTGCTAACAAGAGAGCCCCGTCATGTTTCTTTTTCTTAAAAAAAAAAAATTGGGACCAGCAGTTAGCGTAATGGCTATGTCACTGGAATCCCATGTAGTCGACCACGGTTCGAGTCCCGGACCCGGTGGCTTAAACTCATGCCGGGCGTGTGTACGTGCATGCCCAAGATCCCAAGAGGAGAATGGAGGAGAAGGGATTGTGGCATGGCCATCCCCCCTGGGGGGTGATTTCTCGCTTTCTACCTCTCTGTCTCCCTCTGTCTGTCTGGTGAACGCTCACGCCCTATAGCAAAAACCTCTTTGCAAAAAAAAAAAAAAAAAGGCGAATTGAGCAAATTTGCAAGAAGGTTACATCACTCATGTTATGGAGACCACGCACAATATTGTAGGCCTCCAACTAACATTGGATTCTCAGCAGTCTGGAGAATGGCCCTGTGATGAGAAACTGCTGCAAGGCATGCCATAGCCAGCCACCTAGTACACTCCGTCCTTAGCAGAGCACATCAGGCCTCTGCTTACTGGTTATCGTAGACTGGTTCACACAGAAACCACCTCAGGATTTGTTTCACAGAGCTGCCCTAGAAGTCAATTCTTCAACAGGTTTCTCCCACCCAGGCCCAGCCCTTTCACACAAGACTCTTACCCCTGTTCCCCACTTTTGTCTTGTTCTAACATGTCCTGCTGGGGCTGTTTAGGCAGGAGCTGGACCAACGCTTGAGATTCCACGGATTCTTCTAATTCAAAGAGGAGAAAATGCTTTTTAAATCACACTTAGTTTGTTCAGGGTGGGGGAAATGAACCCTGTGAAAGGAGAGATCAAGCGAGCACCCTGACAGCTATGAAAGGTGGGCTCATAGCTCTGGTCTCCAACACCTGGCTCCTGGGTGGCCCTCCAACTTTTGGATGAATGAGAGGGGTTGTGGGACTCCGTGCTGAAGAGGGCTCAATTCCTTCAAGAAAAAGAGAACCCTGGGCATTTCTGGGGACTGAATTCGGAAGAAGGTAGATGAAGCCAGAGAGCCTCTGTCCCACTTCCACCTGAAATGCGGCGTGAAGGAGAGAGTTGCTGGACACCTGACTCACTTTCATTAAAGTAATAACGGATGGCTGTTCTAAAATATGCACTCATTACAGTTAACAGGCATGGAACACAGAAAACAAATGTCTGGAGAAGGAGCCTTAGAGGCAAGTATTGAGCCTTTCCAGGGGCCTAGGTCCGGCTGGAACCTAGAAAACAGCCCTGGAGAGCTTCAGGCGCCTGGTGGGGAGGATCCCATTCCTGGAGCAGACCTGAGGGGGGCACAGTTGATTGTCCAGGTGCAGGATGATCTTTTGAGCCGGTACTAGCGGTTCTCGAGGCGGGTTTTGGGCGAGATCGAGGAAACTTAGGGAGGCAGAGCCGGTGCGACCTCCCGGCGGCCGGGCTCAGGCCCATCCGGATGCTTCAGCCTCGCCGGCCCCCAGGCCTCGCGAGGGACAACGCGCCTGGCGAGTACCCCGTGGGCGCGGCCCCTGCTCCGAGGAGCCGCCGGATCGTGGGCGCTGGGGGCGGCCTGGCGAGGAACCGCGGGCGGGAGGGCAGAGAGGGCCTAACCCCGAAGCACCGCGCGCAGCAAACGGCGGGAGCTCGTGGGGCCACTGGGCTCTCTGGCTGGGGCCACTGGGCTCTCTGGCTGGGGCAACAGCGTGGGGAGCAAGTCCAGGAGCAGAGAAGGGCCCGCAAATGGAGGCGCTTGAGGGCCAGGAAGGGGTTCTTTGTGAGGAAAGACAGGGCAAGAGGACAAGGAGGTTATCTGGGGCGTGGAAGCACCGCGCAAAAGCTCGGAGGTAGCATCTAATGTGGCTGGGGAAGCTGCGGGCTGTGGAGCAGAGGAGCTGCCTACGGAGGGAAAGGTTGAGGCCATATTAGGAAGCCTTGGGAGGTACTCACAGGAACCGAGGATTTTCTTTTAAAGAATTTTTTAAATTAAGAAATATATAATGCGGGGCCAGCAGATGGAGTAGTGGTTAAGGTGCTTGACTCCAGAATGTCTAATAAGGTTCAAGTCCTGGACACAGTGGTTTGAAACTCAGGTTTTTGCCCAGTGGCAGGAAAAAAAAAAAGCCAATTAAAACTTAAGTGAAATATTTTTACATCTACTTATTGGGAAAGATTAAGAAGCAAGACAGTAGTGTTGGTAAATATGTAATCAATAATATATAAGGTAATGTAATGACAATATGTAATGTAATCAATAAAGATGTAATCAATAATAATTCTTGCACATCACTGCTAAAAACGAAATTTGTACCACCAATTGGGAAAATGTTCTAGTGTTTTATTGTAAAGTTGAACTTCCTAACAGGAAGTATGTGAATGCTTTCTGTCTGTCTTTCTCTCCCTGGGGAACACACATGCCCTAAAGCAGAAATCTCCCCAAAACAAAACAAAAAATATAAATGCAACCTATATATATTACATACAAAAGAAGACAAGGAATACATGCAGTTATGAAACAGTGATAAAATTACTACCTACATCCTACTTAAGAACTGGTAACATACCCAGTACAGATGTTCCTACCTGTGTGTATCCCTTAATTCATCTCCCTGCCTCCCTCATGCCCAGAAGTATCCTGAGTTTTGTGTCTAGCATACTCTTGCTTTCAAAAATCATTTTTTAAAATCACTTTTTGCATCTCTTAATATATTTTGTCTTGTTTATCTGAAACTTATTAAAATGATGCTATGGTCTGCTTCTTTGCAGCTCCTCAATATTCATATGCTAAAATCCATCCTCAAAGGATAGGAGGTAGGGTGATTGAGAGGTGATTAGGTCATGAGAGTAGAGCCCCCATGAATGGGAATGGGATTAGTGTCCTTTAGGAGACCCTGGAGGGCTAACTAGCTAACTAGCTTCCTCCACTGTGTGACAACACAGCAGATGCCATCTGTGAACCAGAAAGTGAGTCCTCACCAGACTCTAAATCCCCTAATGCCCTCATCTTGGACTTCTCAGCCCCCAAAACTGGAAGAAATAAATTTATGTTGTTTTTAAGCCACCCAGTTTATAATATTTTGTTATATCAGATCAAACAGACTAAGACAAATGATACCATGCTATGTATTCTTTTCTACAACTCTGTTCTTTCAAAGTTGTTTCTATGATACATACATATTGCTACCTCTCATTTTCACTGCTGTAAAATATTTCACTGTGCAAAAATACCACAGTTTATTGATCTAGTGATAAAGCTACTAGATTTGTTTGTTTGTTCATTTGTTTGTTTTCTTTCTCAATTTAGGGCTGGAAACAATCAAAAAGGAACCTAAATCATGTCCTGGTGTAGGTATGCAAAGGATTCCATGATCCAATAATTAGGAAGTATGTGAATGTTCAACTTTACAATAAAACCTAAACATTTTCCCAATTGGTGGTACAAATTTAATTTCTACTAGTGATGTATAAGAATTATTATTGATGGGAACCAGCAGTTAGCGTAATGGCTATGTCGATGGACTCCCACGTAGTCGACCGCGGTTCGCGTCCCAGACCCCGTGGCTTACAACTCACGCCGGGCGCGTGTGCATGCATGCCCAGGATCCAAGAGGAGAATGGAGGAGAAGGGGTTGTGGCGTGGCCACCCCCCCCCCCGGGGGGGGGAGGTGATTTCTCGCTTTCTATCTCTATGTCTCTCTCTGTCTGTCTGGCGAGCGCATGCGCCCTATAGCGAAAATCTCTCAAAAAAAAAAATAATTATTATTGATTACATCTTTATCCTGCTTCTTAATCTTTCCTGATAAATTGATGTAAAATAGTATTTCACTTAAGCTTTGATTCGCCTTTTCCCGATAGCTAATAAAGTTGATACCTCCACATATACCTATCAGCTGTTTAGATTTCCTCCTTTAAAAAGTGCTTGTTTGGGGGCCAGCAGGTGGTGTGATGGTTAAGTCGCTAGACTCCAATGTGGTTGACTGCAATTCAAGTCCTGGACCAGGTATCTTGAAAATCACACTAGGTGCATGTGCATATGTGCTCAAAATCCCAGGAAGAGAAAAAACTGCAGTGTGACCATTCCTCCTGGGGCTGATTTCCCACCTTCCCTCTCTCTGTCACTCCACAGTGAGTATACTTGCTCTATGGCAATACAATAAATAACTAAATAAGTAAGTGCTTCTTTGTGTCTCTTACTTGGTGTTTTTCTGTTTGTTTGTTTTGGGTTTTTGGGGGGTTTTTTTTGAGTTGTCTTATTGAGTTGTAGAAGTTCTTTGTATATATATATATGTGTGTGTATGTGTGTGTATGTTATATATGTTTTTACCATTGGATGCAAGCACTCATCAGAGAGAGGGAAAGTGAGAAGTCACACCCCAGAAGAAATGGCCATGCCTCAATTCCTTTTCCTCCATTCTCTTGGGATTTTGGGCTCTCACACATGTGTACCCAATGCAGTTTTCAAAATTCCAGGTCTGGGACTCGAACCACAGTTGACCATGTGGGAATCCAGTGCCTTAACCACTAAGGCCCCTGCTGGTCCCTGTACATTCTTTTTTTTTGTTTTTTATCTTTTTTTTTTATCTTTTTTTTTTTTTTCGGAGAGATTTTCACTGTAGGGCGCGTGCGCTCGCCAGACAGACAGAGAGAGACATAGAGACAGAAAGCGAGAAATCACCCCCCGGGGGGATGGTCACGCCGCAATCCCTTCTCCTCCATTCTCCTCTCGGGATCTTGGGCACGCACGCACACGCGCCCGGCGTGAGTTTTAAGCCACCGGGTCCGGGACACGAACCGCGGTCGACTACGCGGGAGTCCAGCGACATAGCCATTACGCTAACTGCTGGTTCCCAGCCCCTGTACATTCTTGATACTCATCTTTAGTCAGTTTTACTTGTTGGCACATACATTCTTCCAGTTCATGTCTCATTTTTGCACTTTGTGATTCTTTTGATGAAAAGAATTAACTTCAACAAAGTAGAATTTATCAGTGTTTTTTTCTGTGGTCAGTTCTGTGTCTTTTGATGAAGACTTTCCTTGACCTGGGATCAGAAAAATACTCTTTTCTTTTTTGGTAAATGTTTTGAATTTTTGCCTTTTCACTTAATCTGTCTAGAACTGGTTTTTGTGTATGTAAGAGGCAGAAATCCAAACTCATTCTTCCTCATCCAAATAAGCATTTATTTCAGCATCATTTATTGATAGGTTTTCCTTTTCCAGTGATGAGCGAGTCCACATGTCCTGTGTCAGGCTTTCATGAATGAACAGAAATATTTTCAACTAGTATTCCACTGGTAAATGCACCTGTGCTTGTGCTTCCACTATGTCATTTTAATTACTACATCTTTTTTCTTAAGCCACAATAAAGATTAATATTTATTTTTATAATTTAATATCTATACACTCACAATAAGCTACTATTTTAGTTTTGCTAACAAAAGTAACATTTTTTTTGGAGAGGATTTTTTTTTTTTTCTTTAAGTGCTTTGCTTTCAAGGCTTTGGTTTTCCAGAAAAGACTTAGATTCTAAATCCGAGTTTTGCGGAGCAAAGCGTATCTCTGAAAGCTTATTTTGATATATTGCACAGAGTTTGGTTGTGTGGATAGCTATTTTATTAATAATTCTTCCCTTCAAATAATCTCTCCCATGGTACCTATATCACAGGTACTTAGAAAATAGCCTTATATTTTTATGAAAGACACAAACAATTTATATATACATATATATATGTATATATATATATATGTATTTTAACATTTGTCAGTTTCTTCAAAGACAGAGAGTGAGGGCACTGCAAACAGGGTTTGCACACTGTGATTCCAGCCCCTCCTTAGCTAGCTGAGATCCTGGGTGTGTGTACCAGGTATGCACAGGGAGACCTTGGGACATGAGCCCAGGGCCTTCCAGCCCAAGTGCAGCATTGCAGAGCTCTGTGCTGATGCTGTGCCACCAGGGCTAGCCCTAAGTACATCCTGACAATTATCTTCAAGGTAAAAAACAGGACTGACGCAGTGATAGAATAAGTGAGAAAATCTGAAATCTCTATAACCCCAAACTTTGTTTATAGAGAACACAGTCTGAGGTATATCATTTAAAAAATCATTTTAAGTATGTACTTAATTTGTAAAAGGCTTATGTAAAAATAACCTGGGGACCAGCAGATGGCATAATGGTCAAGTCACTGGACTTCCCCATGGCCAATGGCGGTTCAAGTCCCAGACCCAGAGGCATGAAACTCACGCCAGCGCATGTGTGTGCGTGCTCAAGATCTTGAGAGGAAAATGGAGTCGAAGGAATTGTGGTACAGCCATCCTTCCTGGGAGGTGATCTCCCGCTCCCTGTTTCTCTGTTTCTCCAGCAAGCAATGTGCCCTATAGCAAAAAATCTCTATCTAAAAAAAATGTTTTTCTTAACATAAAACCAACCTACAATCCCTCCAAAAAGATCTCAAATACAAGTTTAAACAACAGGATAGTGGGGATGGAGGGGAGAAAGGAAAATAAATTTTAAATGGAAAACTCATAAAAAGAGGCACTAATCAATCATCAAATGTCATCCCCCCCACCAAAAAAAAAAAAAACAGCAATATTAGACGGTTGCTCTTTCCACTTCTTGCTTGCTTCC